ACCCCAAAGTTAACCCTTTGACTTAATAATTCTCTGATCAAAAATAAACTCAGACTTACCCATTAACTACATTTAAGGCAAAGGTTTGCTAACCCCCTATCATTACAGGTCTTTATTTAAAATGCCATGCTGTATCAAATGAAGTCTAGACTTGTACTATGCCACTGCTTTCTTTAATACAAAAAAAAAAAAAAAGTCCAGTAAGTTATTTTCCATAACTCACAGTAACCACCGGTAATCATTAAATCTCTGTATCTCTTAACATCTATCTTTCTTATATCAGACACATTCTAATTACATACCATTAACTACCTGCCAGTCTCTTACAACTTCACAAGTTTTAAAGACTTACTGAAATTTAACACTGACAGTCTAAAAACATGAAAATAAGAGATATTTATCATCATGCCAATTTATTACTTCTGGCTGTAGCTGCTGCTAACACCTGTTTTACTTTAAAACATTGATGGGGGATCATTTCATGATAATCCCCATTTTCATAAGTTTCTACTACCTCGTGATTTCTTCCCCAATTACCTGATGAATGTCTCCACGCTTTCTACAGCAGCAATCATCAATTTTAACATTTTAATCTTGTATTTCTGTTGAGCCTCAAATATGAAGAATGAAACCCTCTGCACATGAATTTTGCCCTGTGTGTATTCTACACAGTTTGCTTAATCCTAAAAGGTCATTAATATCTATTAACATCAATTTGTTCTTTCTATTCTATCTCCTCTGGAATACAAACTGGCTTTCTAACACAGCAAGACTTCTTTTTCTGCTTTGGCTTCTGGGGCACTTGACAGGTAAATGTAACAGCACAAACTGTTCCAGAGTATTTTTTAATAAACTCTTTCTCCCAATAGCTTTAGTTAGTATGTCAAAGGTTACAGGAGTTTAAACATAACATCATAAAGATTTAACATAAGGTCTGAGGGACTCAGTATCTCAATGAGAATTATTTCAAATTAATCATCTACTTTGAAGCTCAGAGTTCGCTCTCTTACATCATCAGTATGACAAAGAGCTTAACAACTCCTTGCAGAAGAATGTAGAACTTGGCAGAGGCTTCATCACTGCTTGAATGAGAAAAGGACAACAAAATACAAGGACTAAGCCGAAGCATTTAGTAAACTCCTAAATAAAACTGGAACTTGACTGCACAAGACAGTATCAACCCAAAGCGGCCTGTGCTAAAAAAACCAACAAACTGACTGTTTCTTAAATCAGAATTTGAAATATTGATATACAAAAGTACAGTCCTGGGTTTGGATACGTCCCATATTCTGAACACTGTCTAGCATAACCAACCGGTGCATATCAAAGAGAGCTCAAGGGTAGAATACATATGATGTAGAAATACAAATGTAGAAGGACAAACAAAAACGTTGCCTCAGTTGTGACAGAGGAATTCCAAAAGACAGACACACCAAGGGTGCTGAAAGAATGAGCTAACCATTTCGAGACCCAATTTGGAATTTAACCTTCTCCAGTCTTAGGGGGGGAAAAAGAACTGCTTTCTACACCCTTGTAGGGTTTACAGCACTTATAAGTGCATAAAATCAATGATGCAAAAATTAAAATAAAAAATTAAAAAGCAAATGATCCCCTGAAGTCCTTAGCAACTGAAGCTGATACAACACAGTTTGTTGTACACTTGAAATCAAGAACAGAACTGGAAAAGACAGAGAAGCATCTCTATACACTTGAAGCACTGTTTCTTCCAGCAGGAAGAATCCACGCAGAACTTGATGCAACTTTATGTACCATAAAACAGAAAATTCAGTTTCCTTCTGACACAGGATTGCTTTTCATTTTACCCTGCTGCATTATTCCACAAATGCCATAATAAGTATTTTCCCTATTGCTGTGGGACACGAGTTCTCAGAAAGTTCTTCACGCACTGGAGTGTACTCCAAACAAACAGGAGCCACAGCCCGCACAAACTGCTTGACAGGAAAATACAAAATGTATGAAACTTATTTACCATAACTGTACTTTCTTTTTTTTAATTCCCAGCACCTTATTCGTCTCTGCATTACTGCTGAAATAAAGTGCAAGCAAGGTAAAAGAAACATTTGATCTTAGAATCTACTACTAGCAGAGGTAAGCACTGAGACAACATGCTACTCATCTCTTCCAACCTCTGGGTGAAGGGTTTTTCTGTTCTGTAATCACCACTGTTGTGAAAAGAAAAAATATAAAAATCTTCAGCAGAAGGGATCACTGCTTTACAATACTTTGGATTACAAATCTATCTGTAAGTATTATTCCCTAGAAGGATGATGAGAATGAACTTAATACTGAGAATACAACTAGTGTGACTTAAGAAGTTACACAGCTCTATCAAATTGTAGAGTTCACATGAAATCCTTCCCCATTAAAAAATTCAGATCCTGAAATCAATCCAAAGACCAGTAGCAACTGCAATACGACCTGAGTTTATATATTGTAATAGCTTTTAAATATGTGGCCTTGTACTATTCCTGGTACATCTCTGTTATTAAAGAGGAAAACAGAAGTTCTATGGACTGGATAAAAGTTTGAAGAGGGCAGATTTTTCACAAAATGAGCTGAATATACTTATTCTAAATAAAAGTCTTATGGAAGACATTTAATTATGTATAAATAGCATGTGACAAATCTGCATTACCCTTTAAAATAATCTTTCCTTCACATTTCATCTAATTTGAACATCAACTGTGAACAGGATTATCATACGTCTGTGATATAAGGATTATCATAATCTTTATGGATCATAACAAATACTCTTTAAAAAATGGCAGAAGAATGACAGCTACAGTTAAGAAGGTTTAAAAAAAAATATATATATGAGGAGATTCCTAAAAAAAGTGCCTCAAAAGCTTTGTTTAATATGGTCTAGCTCATTCCCGATTCTGCTTCTTTGAAGTAACAAGGCAATTCCAAGTAAGAGTCATTAAAATCTTTTTGGCTTGACTTCCCCTGCTTTTTCTCTCACTACATTTACATGCACAAAATCTTACCTGGGTTCTGGGTCACATCGTTTAGACTCACTTGTCAGATTCTGTTACTGGACAATACAGAAACGTTTCAAAGAGAAACATCAGCATATCATACCTGAGAAAATGTATGTTTCTGATAATACTCATATGCCTTTCCTCATTGTAACAAGGTTGTAAATGGACTGCTAAACCTAGAAAATGCTTATGATGAAGTGAGGAAAGCAGCACTACCACTGTAATGTCTTCGCTTGCAGGCAAAGACATCCCACCTGGTTTTGTTTCTTTGAGTTTTCTGGGTTTTGTTGGAGTGATTTTGTTTATGGATTTTGTTTCTTTTCATTCATATTCTTTGGCATATTCAGAAAGTATCACTGGTTTAGTGGACAGATCTAACACTGGCTACTAAGAATCTAAGCATGCTTAAACACAGGGGAAATTATCGGCTGAGTATCATGATAAAGGTAATAAAACCTACCCAGTATGTCCATCCACATATTTCAAAGCTTCGTACAAAGGAAGTTTAACATTATCACTGGCAGTTATAGATGGAAGAGCGAGATGTTTAATAAAGAGAACAAAGAAAGCAAGAATGGACCTAACCAGGGAAAAGCCTGTTCTAGGAGCTGACAAAACCAGAGTATACTAAGACAAATGTAAGCGGGGTAAACATGAGTCACTCACTTCACACCAAGACTTTGTGCTTCCACCTGTTACCCAACTACAACAAATAATCCAGCTCAAAGGCATTATAAAGGAATAAGAAAGTTCATGCTAAAATAACCAGAATACTGATCTAAATCTGTTGCATGATCTCTGTCCATAGAAGATACAAGATTACTGCGTTTATTAAACTGCATTTTCATCAAAAAGATGGACAGTGAACTAGGAAGTTTTGTCACACACCATTTCTCCCTACTGATTCCAATGCAGGAAAAATGTTTTTTAATATAGTTGCCACAGCTACTGCCATTATTACCCGTAATAAATATAATAATTTACCTATATCTGAGAAAGATTTAAACCAGTATGGTTTTGAGATCAAGTTTTCAAGCACCTGCCTTGTGCTCAAAGCTTTTTGTTTCTTAAAGCATGTATATTTCTAAAGTATCTTTGCTTATGGAGTGAAAATATACAATATAAAAGCATGAAACCCTGCCCACAACCAAATATTCACTTTCCATTCCTCTGCCCTCACCAATCTCTCAAAAAAAGGCAAAAAATCCCCTAACTCAACAAAAAGGACAAAATCTCAAAGTTACAAAATGGAGGCATCAGATAGTTTGCTATTTTCTTATACAAACACAAAGGCCTCGAAAGAAACTTCAAAGAAAAAAAGACTTTGGTAGATACTGTATTCTGCAAGGTCATTCCACACACAGGTTTACTGGGAACGGAAAGCCTCTCTCAGCCCCAGATGCACGTAACATTTAGAACAGAGGAAGAACAAACCAGCCAATTTCAATTGCTAAAAAGCACACAAGAATACGAAAATGTCATCCAGCTGCACAGGGATCCATATTCAAAATATCCTTTTATGTGTTCAAACTGACAATTCTCCATACAGACATTTTGATTTTTAGTTAAGCTAAATTGGGAAAAATAATTGAGGGACATACTCAGCTGAGTACTGATTTTCTCCATGTAATAGAACATACAGACAATACAGTCTGTATACACTAACACTTATTTTAGCTAAACCTGTCACATGGAATTTCCAAAGAACCTATTTTCATGCAACTTATCTTTTCCCCCTACAGCCTCAAAACCTGCATTAATATATCATATAGGTCAACACACAGGTCACTCTACTACAGCCACCTATGGCACAGTGGCACCTATACATAGATAAAACTTACTCTTCCAACAATCTCATTCTAATTTTTACTTTTTTCCCCAATTTGACTTTCAAGAGACTTTAAATGATACTCTGTTTTTGAAAAGCATATTCAGAATTACAGCTAAAATAACAAAGACATATTTTAAGGTAAGAAAACAAATCCAGTAAATGCCTACCTGAACCCACTGGAGATGAACCAACACTAAGACTTTGTAAACTTCCATTCCTGAGCAAAGTTGGAGATTTTTGAAGACCAGAGCTTGTCACACTTCCTGCAGCAGATGCCACAGATGAAGTTGGGGAAGCAGAAGAAACTGAAAGATGGGAAATACTTTCTTGACTTTTATTTCCTTTTGGTCTACCAGGCCCATGTTTACTTTGCTTATTTCCTTTCCGTTTCTTCTCTGTTACAGTTTCTTCTTCTATTCCAGAAGTCTGAGCTCGTTTGTATGCTGTAGAAGTAAGGCTTGAATTACCTATGTCTCCAGGGGAGCTGTCAAAGTTTTTAGATTGGGAAACAGCTGATGATGAAGGGAGACCAATTAAGGAAGTGAAACAATTGACACCCCCCTCTTGACTCCCAGCCTCTCCTTTATGTACATCTTTGGTTGGCGCAGCCTGTTGAGAATGTGTGAAACTGTCACTTCGCAGATCTGTGTCTGTAAAACTCAAAAAATCCTGGGGAGACTGAACTGAACTTCCAGAAGATGACTTTATGCTCCCAGGAGTGCCCAAAAAGCTTCCTAAAAAAAGAAGAAAACAGGATACATTTTTTTCCCTGTAGTTGATGAAAATTGATGGGAAAGGTTAATATCTTCAGATATGAAACTTTAAAGTGCAAGGACTTAATGAAAATTGTTACTAACAGCTAAAGAAACTATTTTTAAGATAACTTATTGCTTCTCCTGTTGGTCTTCGCTCTGCTGGATCTGATTCTCAGATTCCTGTCTGAGATTCAGATTTGAATTTGGGGCACAAACAATGAACAAAAGGAGAATAAACAACTTTGCTGCTCAAACAACTTTGACATCCCTCATGTCTTAAAGCCATAATGCACATTTGGTACAAGTCAAAGCAGGTTTTATTAAACATACACATATATAAAAAGAAGGTTGATAAAATCATGCCGTGATCAAATCTACACTATGCCTGCAATCTTCCCTACCATTCTACCTAAATCAAGGGTGTGACACAGGTCAAGGGAACAGCAATTGCACTTAATTTACCCTGGCTGAGGAGGTGTTCCACAGAAGAGGTATTTTTCAAAAGGGCAGGAGCAGAAGTGGAAAAAAAGTGTACAAAATTGACATTTTAAGACTTCTTTAGCACTGTCGGAGAACCATAAAGATCTTTTGTGTAATAGAATTAAACTACCTCTCTAATATTTGGAATGCAGCCATTTCATCACTGTGTTAGTGCATACAAGGCAGAAAAAGGAGCACAGTTGGAAAATACACATCTGCCTTCACGGAAATTCAGTAATTCTATATGGGTGTGTACATGTGGGTATTGTTTTATAGAACTCAGACTGATGACGACTATCCTGTCAAAAAATACTCCTAAATATGACATAGGATAGTAAAAAAAATCCCATGGTGTTTTCCCATTAGTACTCCATTCAGTATTAGGAAGTTCATTTAAAATATAATTTACATTAAGACAGCAATTTAAATATCATAAAAAGACACTGTTGGTTTTTGTATTTTCTAGTTACATCAACTTCACTTACACAGCTTTAAAGAAAATACATGCACATAGTAAAAATCTATTTTGCCACCCCCAGTGAGCAAGATTTTTCTTTAAATGCAGGATTCCAGAAGGCAATTTTCAAAGTTTTGCGAATTTAAAGAAAAAAATTCTTCTAGTTTTTTCAAGTGAAAGAGTCTGAAATACTGTAAGACTTGTATAAAAATTTAAAATTGCTTACTGCAAGCATAAACCCAAAGGAAGAGCAAGATTATAAAGCAGAAATGACAGTCAGCTGCTACACACCACGGTGAAAATTATAGAAAAAAAATACTTCATAGAAGGCCTAGTTTGTTGTATTTTAAAATAATACGTTTTGTTAGTTAAATAATAAAATTTACTTTTAATTTTATCTTTCTTCAAATCTGATGAAGATGCCATAATAAAATTTGCTTTTTAGAAGTATTAACAGTGCACTTAGTGGGTTTTAACGTGTTCAAAACATCAAACTTTTTGTATTACATGACGTAAATAAACTGTAAAGTATATAGTTGTCATGCAATCATCTTCTGCTTATGTATTTCAATGGTAATATAAAAGTAAAAAGGTCTTTCACTTTGAAAAGAACAGTGTATTTAAAATGCCTGCATCTTGAAAAATTATTTAGGGGCCACCACATCCTATACACTAGGTAGTCCAGCTTCATTCTAATATGCAGTAACTAAAAAACGTTAGTGTGATTCCTTGAAAGAGCTAAAAAAGGCCCCTAGACTGAAATTCCTATGCTAAATTTTACCCCAGACTAACTCTGCAGCACATAAAGAAACTTCTGGATTTAGCACTTAAAGAGAGTAACAGTCTAAACAAAAGCATCAATTTTGCCCTTTAATGATGTCCAACCTTCTTTTTTCCATTACAACAACGAACATTTTTTCGCTGAAAAAAGTTACATTTTTCCCCCAAAGTGAAACAACATTCTCATAATTGAGGATAAAGGACAATCTGCTTTTCAAGTTTTAAATACGTAAGATTTCTAATTCACGTCAAAGCAGAAGTCATTTTACAGCATAACAATTAATACCTTGCTGAAAAGGGCTAGCTGTAGTCACAGTTGTTCCTGGATTTCTTCCAGCACCAGGCTTTCTTCCCCTCTGACCCGAGCTGTGACCGGCAGATTTCTTGGCTTTGCTCTCTGACCCTCTAGCCTCTGAAGAATCTTTTCCACTTGAAACGTGTGTAGAAACTTCCTGAAAATTTGCATTTGTAAATCGAGCTGTGGTATCTTCCAACCGCTTCAAGGAGCCTGACATGGAGTTGTTGCTAGTGCTTGTGTATGTCTAGCATTTTGATAAGAGAAAAGAAATAAAAGAAAACTGGTAAGTCACGCAAAATAAACTGTAACAAAAGAACTGTTTAAAAAAAACCATTCTTTCAAATAAACTCACAAGTGTTCAAATACTAAGGTAACTGGAAACAGCAGGAGTTACATAAAGTTAATTCTTAAGATTTTAAGCAAACAATTTTAAGCACATAAAACTTCATTTTGTGGAAAAATGCATGAAAATAATGTCAGCTTTGGTCGAAATTTTTATTTCACTGAGCTCAGTGGATTAATCTCACATCTATGGTTACAGAGTCTTTACATTCTATTTAAATAGGATAGTTATTTTGCTGCTTAAAATTCAAAATTAAAAAGAAAAAATGAGACTCGAAATGCTTTTCTGAAAACACGGTTTTTATGCAGTCTCTTTCATCAAACTGCAAACTTTGTTCAGTGGAACAAAGCAGTGGAACTGATGAAGGCTTCGGAATCTAAGACCTTGCACTTTTAAGACTTCATAGTCTAAACACCAAACCAAAATCAATTCCAACAAGCCCAACCACCCCTTATGTCTTCACTTCCCATCATCACACTAGGATTCCTTGTTTGCTGTATTTAGGCCTACAGCAAAGTATTTCTTCATCATATGCAGCTTTGCACAGTTGATATAAAGTTTTCCATATTTTTACTAAAACATCTAAGACATTTACATAGAACGTACTTTTCAGACAACTAAATATACAAGCTTTGAGGAACATAAAAATTTCAATCTATTTGTGTACTGCTCTGTATGAATTATTGTGAACTACAATAAATACATACTACAGATTTTCTGAATAACAGTGAAGAAAAATCAGTTTAAGCCTGCTGAAGTACAATGTTAAAAATTATTTACCCCAAATTCATATTACTATACTGGTAAGTGTTTCTAAAAGAGATCAAGCCTCTTCTAAAGTAAGTTTAGCAGTTAATTTTTTTAATTATTAAAAAGTCCACAAGAATGATTAATTTTCCTGAAACTGATGCGTCACTTGACCTGAGTAAAGCAGCAATGGTTCAAATTTGAGTTATTTGAACAAAGGGTTTCCGAATACGCAATAACCCAAACCAAAAGGCTTTTTCTAGGATCCAGGATTTCTCCTCTAATCCAAAACCTTCCTTTCCTAATTCTTATCTCCTATCCACTCAGTTGGATATTAATTACAAGGATAATTATCTACTGGTATCAACAGTCACAGTTTGATGTTATCTAGTACCTCTTCCCCATTACTGGAGGAATTTTATTTACTTATTTTCTTACTTTAAAGGGAAATAAGAGTTTAACGTACCTCTGCAGACCAGCCAGGGCTAGGCTATGACAAGTAGGCATTAATTTACATACACCCTGCAGAGATTTAGTTTGACTGCTTTGCAGCCTGAGCCCTGCTCTTTAGAAAGCATGTATGCACATCACAGTTTGCTGTGTTGAAGATTTTGTTCCAGCAGTGTTGCAGAAGGTGCTCTAAAGTGTACTGAAATCTACATGCTTACTCAGAGTATCTCAAACTACTATGATGCAATATGCCCTACCCCTACCAAAGTTGGTCTCATTTGGCCAGTATTTTTTTTTTCCCAGATTGTATTCCTTATTTTTAATTGCAGCAAAGTGCTCTAAACCAGATGCACATAAATCAGTTGCTTTGAGAAGCCACAAGATATGCAATAGGATCTAAGGTAAAGCTTATTAAGTTAATTGGTTCACACAATACCCTACCCACCACTAGAACTGCTTTTCTAAAATGCTACATTCTAAAACACAAAGGCCTGAGTGAAATGTCTCAGAAAAAACCTTAATATGCCATAGCAAAGTTATATTGTTTGTTTATTTGGGGTTTTTTGAGGTCAGGAGAGTGACAGTGCAGGGAGCAAGAATCAGAGGATAGAGGCAGAACACCTTAGATTATTTACTGACTGGCTTCAGCCTCTGCAGCCCCCACCCTCCCCCCAAGCTTACAATGCTGTCTCCTTCCAGCATGTGCTTTCTAAATGGAATACACTGCTCAAGCCTCCTCCCTCCACTGTTCACACTGCAGTCAGTCATTTTCCTTCATTTCAGTGCTGACATCCCCCAAAAAGGAGATTCCCTGATGCTCCAACTCTATTCCTTGGTTTATCTGGGAGGACTTGTCTGTTTCATAAGTGTTAATCCTGTTCTCAAAAATCAATCAGTATTTGCTAGTGCAATTACCAGCTAACTCTGTGTGCATCCGAGTTCCTTTATGCTTCCCATAAACCAGTCAGCAGAGGTTTTCTTCCCCCCGAAAAGCAAAGTTTCACATTACCAATCTGGTGTACAGAGAGCTACTGTCATTTTTATGCTCCCCATATATCACTCTGTGCACCCTGAAGAGTTATACCACCCATCTGTAGCAAGTCTTAAAACTTCTGGGATAGCTTTAAAATGAAGTAAAGGTGTAACAATCAGTCTTGCTGTACACAGTATGTCCCAAGGCTTGAGAAGCTATTAGTTTGTTACTCTTGGACAGAGAATGGAAGGACCACAGCAGGTAGTCTTCCAAAAAGATGCCAGTAAAAGCATGGACCAAGCAAAAAATGACCAACAAAAAAAACTCCAACCCATACCCCGTAGCTCACAAACACGTCACAGCTGAAGGACAGTTATGTGCAGTCATACCAAACAGAGGACTCCCTACTCTTTTCATTCTCGTCTGTACCCATGTCGTGGTTTAAGCCCAGCCAGCAACTTGGAACCACGCAGCCGCTCGCTCACTCCCCCCCTTTTCCTTCCTCCCCCCGCTCCCGGAGGGATGGGGAGGAGAATCGAAGGAATGTAACTCCCACGGGTTGAGATAACAGCTCTCCAGTAACTAAGGTATAATACAAACCATCCTCTGCTACCAATAATAATGATAAGAGGAATAACAAGGGAAAAGGACACAACCGCTCACCACCCGCCGACCAATACCCAGCCCGACCCGAGCAGCGATCTGGGCCTTCCGGGTAACTCCCCCCAGTTTATGCACTGGGCATGACGTGCTGTGGTATGGAATACCCCTTTGGCTAGTTTGGGTCAGGTGTCCTGCCTCTGCTTCCTCCTGGCTTCCCCTCCTCCCTGGCAAAGCATGAGACTGAGAAAGTCCTTGGTCAGAGTAAACATTACTGAGCAACAGCTAAAAACATCGGTGTTATCAGCATTGTTCCCAGACTGAAAGTCAAAAACACAGCACTGCACCAGCTACTAAGAAGGAGAAAAAATGACTGCTGTAGCTGAACCCAGGACAACCCCACTGCGGTAGGATCTGAGCATGTCCCTTGACAACCAGGTTGGGCTGATAGTCAGGGTGAACTGAGGAGGGTTATCATCATTATCTCTGCTATTACAGATAAAATTCCATCAGCTGTACTTTCTTTCTCTTTGCAGTATCTTTTATTTAGTTACTGACTATGATTTCAATGTGGATACACTGTATTGTGTATCTTTGTGCACATCACTATTTTAGAGTTTTGTTTTTATGAGTAACGTTTCACCCCATCCAGAAAAAAGACAACTGTATTTTTCTGTATCTGTTAAACCACGCATATTTTTAAACTCTCAGCATAAGCCAAGCTCAAAACCTGAGACAAAAGCTTTTATCAGGATTAAATATATGGCTGACAGCCCTTCCCAACTAAGAGGAAGGTCAAAAGAAAAGGGAGAGAGACAACTCAAATCCATAAGTTCTTCTACGCCTTAAAACATTCTGTATCTATACCCCAGAAGTGAAAAACTTCCTAGTACATTAATCAAAGAGTAGTTACAAATTTCTTAGTTCAAACTTTTTCAAACTTAACTAATCTGGACTAAGCAGAGTTTGCTGAGACATTAAATATCACAAAAATGCCTCTCAAAATGATGTGTTCATATTTCAACACAGAATTTGGACTGGAACCTCCATAAAATTTATTGGAATTAAATTTTGCAGAACAAACAAGCAAGCCTGTAATGTAAATCCACAGTTTATTCTGAAGCCTTCATGAAATCTACCTTAAGAAGCCACTCATCCAGACAAAAACATGCTTTGTGGCATCACCTGCATAAATGGTCATTACCACTGTATCACAAAGGATTTAAGTTCTTTAAAAAAGAAAAACAAAACTAGTTTCAAATTCTAGTTCCCCCACAATATGGTGTCAGAAGTAATTTTATACCATGACAAACCAACATATTCACTGCAGAGAGACTGCTGCAAAAAAGACATCAAGTCCAAATCAATTCTGACAACTCTATGTAAAAGGACACACAAAAGTAACATATTAATATTCTGCACCAAATATTTATTTCAGAAGAAAACAAGATTTGTTTTAGTATCATTATGATTTCAACTTTTTCAGGAACACACTATGAAATTATGACCCAGAAAAGCAAATGCATGTAAATGGTGTCAAAAGTACCTAGGGAAAAAATTCAAAAGAAAATAAAGGAACAAACCACAAAAAAAAAAAAATTACTTCCAAATATCCAGTAGATATTTAAAATAAATAAATAAATGAATAAACCCCAAACAAAACAAAACCACCTTAATCACAGTAACTTCATTTAAAAAAAATGAACTCTGATTTTCCCGATGATACAAAGCATTATAAAAAGAAGCTAGAAACTGAAGCAGATAGCTTAGGCAGAAAAAAGTCACAAGATGCAAAATGTTTAAAAAAGAAAATTAAAAGGGCACATGTCAATATTTAAATTCCACAATGAATATTTGTTTTGGTTTAATGTAGTTATAATTTATGTTATAGAATTATAGAGACTTTCTGTTCTCTTTAGCATTTGCTCAAGCTCTACCTTGCTACTGACCATAGGAGTTGCAACATTTTTTTTAATGTTATCTATTTAATTGTTGTTAAGACTATAAAAAGGTGAGGTTTAAGTATTCAAAAGAACACAAAAGTATTTAAAATGCTTCTACTATAAATCCTATAGATTTAACTACAAAAATTTGACCTGCTATACAAACATACATAGCACAATGTTGATTACCAGTATGGCCAACAACTCAGCAAGACTATCAGTCCTTAAGTGGGTTTACTAGAGTTAGCTAAACATGGGATTTTACTCGTTTGCCTTCTTGAAGTGTACTCCACTGAGCTGTAAACCTTGTAATTAGGAGAAGTCTAGGGAGGACAAAGCAATTAGAAAAGAGGTTAGCAGAAAAACAGAACCTAACTGTTTCTTCAGCATTAAAAGAATATTGTACTAAGCATGACTCAAGAATAACCAGTATTTCAATATATTTTCTGTAACTTTTACACCAACATACAATAACGTAACATTTTGTTAAAATTTATAACAATGATTAGATAATCATAAGAAGGACTTGGGGGTGCTGGTTGATGAGAAGCTTGACATGAGCCAGCTTCAGTGTGCACTTGCAGCCCAGAAACCAACCGTATCCTGGGCTGCATCAAAAGAAGCGTGACCAGCAGGTTGAAGGAGCTGATCCTGCCCCTCTGCTCTGCTCTCGTGAGACCTCACTTGCAGTATTGTGTCCAGTTCTGGTGTCCTCAGCGTAAAAAGGACATGGAGCTGTTGTTGGAGCAAGTCCAGAGGAGGGCCACAAGGATGATCAGGGGGCTGGAGCATCTCCTGTATGAAGACAGGCTGAGAAAGTTGGGGCTGTTCAGCCTGGAGAAGAGAAGGCTGCGTGGAGACCTCATTGCAGCCTTCCAGTATCTGAAGGGGGCCTATAAGGATGCCAGAGAGGGACTCTTCATTAGGCACTGTAGTGGTAAGACAAGGGGTAATGGCTTTACACTTAAACAGGGGAAGCTTAGGTTAGATATAAGGAAGAATTTCTTTACAGTGAGGGTGGTGAGGCACTGGAATAGGTTGCCCAAGGAAGCTGTGAATGCTCTAACCCTGGCAGTGTTCAAGGCCAGGTTGGACAGAGCCTTGGGGACATGGTTTATTGCGAGGTGTCCCTGCTCATGGCAGCGGGGTTGGAACTTGATTTTAAGATTCATGATCTTAAGGTCCTTTCCAACCCAAACCATTCTATGATTCTATGATCCTAATCAAAGTAAAAAAGGGTGTAATTGAAAAAAAGTTATGATCATATATAGCACAAAACCTAAAAAAAAAAAAAAAAAAGATTGTAGAGTTTAAAGGAACTTCCCACACAAGAAGGGTGGGAAGTTCCTTTTACAGGCTATGAATTTTGCAAGTTGTCTCTGATAAAAGAGGAATACATTCAGGACAAATTAATAAAATTAAATAATGAATCATATGGACCAGTCAATACTATTCAAAGAGTTCTACAACTTAATTTCAACAAAAACTGTCACGCTGTACTGGGTTTGCATGGCAAGGTTTTGGTAGCAGGGGTCTACAGGCATGGCTTCTGGCTATGTGTCTGAACGGAGCGAATGCCAGATGGCTCCAAGACAGACCAGCAGCTTGCCAAGGCTGAACCCATCAGAAATGGTGGTAGAATCCCTGGGATAACACAGTTAAGAGGAGGACAAGTAACTACTCAGGAGCAACTGTAGCCAGAGAGATGAGTGAGAACCTGTGAGAGTAACAGCTCTGCAGACACCAAGGTCAGTGAAGAAGTAGGGGGAGGAGATGCTCCAGGCACTAGAGCTGATGCCCATTCACCTGCAGCCCATGGTGAAGACCATAGTGGGGCAGGCTGTAGCCCTGCTGGCTGTGGAGCACTCTTGTAGAGTACAATGAGATCTGTCATTATTTAACTCTCTACATTGTCCTTTGAGTTAGGTATTTGCTAGTACATGAACAGGAAGGAAAGACCACAGAACCTAATGGAGCAGACTGCTAAAAAGGCAATGTGATATTACAAGTAGATGAAGCATGAGCTGTAATTTCATTAATTACCAGCTTAAATGCTTACAGGTTCAGTGACAGCTCAGCACACATAAGTGAATTTCAAAGGAAAGATTTTCTAAAACTTCTCAAATTATTAAACGTAAGTCAATGAAATAAAACTTACTGGACCATCAGTGGCACCTGACTGGGATCACTGAATCACTCACTGCTCTATTACAAAACTCTTAAGCTGTTCTCCATATGATAAACCTCAAAGTATTTTCGGATTTTGTGCAATAGGAAAAATACCAAGTGTGCTAGATAGTTACAGAATCTATACCATTATAAAGTTCCTGTATATACAGTGGAATGATTACATTATGAAATTTCAACATAAGCAATTGAAGTGGAAGAGGAGGAAAAACACATTGACTTACTTTCTCTGTAGTTACAGTAAGAGATGGAACCAAGGATGGTGAGGACTCCGACTGCTTCTTATATTTTTGCTTGTGTTTATCTTTCTCTTTATATTTCTAGAAGTTACAAAAAAGAACACGACCTAAGTTCAGCTTCATCTTTAACATAACCCATTTTATGTAACATCAAGCATTAGCAAAATTTGAGACAGCCATTATGTCCTGTGCTATTTTAATGGAAAAAACATTAATTTTTTGAAATTTTTATAATAAAATTTTATAAAATCAAATCAAATATTTATTTATATTTGCTTTCAAAGCACACAAACTGAAATTCTTCAATTATAGGCAGCATTTATGACTCCGTTGTTGTTAAATTATCCATCTTCCCAATAATAAATTAGTCATCAAAAGAAACTAGATTAAAAACAGAGACATGGCTTCTGCTTCAGAGTTCTTCCTGCATTTCTCACCAAAGATTTCTATCTTCCTGCATTTCTGCACAGTATTTTTTATTGGGATGCTACTGCAAATTAATTCAAGTTTTAGCTTTGGCTCCACTACCGACATCTCCATGCATAACAATGTGAAATTTGATCTAGATTTCATTCCCAAAAAAGGTGCATACAGTTTACATACTGTCTTCCATGTTAAACTGAACAAAATACTAAAAGCTATACCACTGAAGTCTGCTTTCTAGAAGAGGCTGAGAATTTTTTTATTTTAAATACAACATGAATCATTGGCAATGTGAATGAAATTGTGCAAACAGACTGAAAATAATTTCTTAACCCAGAGCCTCTAGACTACAGTAGAAGTCTTCAATACTGGTAGACATCCATTCTTTGAGGATTACAGATGCAGGCACAAACTGTATTTGTTTAAATAATTCAAATACAAAGAAACCCCAAGTCTGAAAAAATTAACAATTCAACCTAGAATACAGTAGTCCAGTATTTTTACCTAGTTAACTTTTTTTACCAACGTCACTTTTCCCATAGTATCATAATACAGTTTATTTAGACAGCCAACACCAGAAGGTACAAGGAAACTGCAGAGAAAGTTACTTGTAAACTACTGGCACTGAAGTATTTTGCTTCTTTGCTAGGTACATGTGAACACACACACAAAACTCAGCAGAACAGCATAACCTATGGCTATTTGTTCAGAATGAGTGCTTGAACAGAAAGCTACCCAAAAAATGCATACACATGAATTGACACAAGGGATTTTAAACTCCCACTGAGTAGCTTGAAAAGATGAAGACAACTTAAAATGTTTAATTCTGAATAGCCATATGAAAACTCAGTAACTGTTTTCAATCTTAAAAATTATAAATGCTGATCTTCAACTATCAAAATTATTACCCAGACTCTCTAAAGAAAACATAATTTGTTCAACAGTGACTGCACAACCACTGTCACAAGCAGGTTGAGATGTAATACGTGCATACTCTATTCAGTTATCACTAAGAATCAGCTTTCTACTTCAGTCACAATGGGAGAAATATTAGAAACTTATTTTATGGAATCAGACTGACAAATAAGAGAACAGATTCTCAAATTCTCTAATAAAGTAGAATTGTTAATCAACAATCTAGACACAAAGCTAAAAGAAAAACACATTTATCTCTACCTTTATGAACAATAAATACCAGCTGCTTTACTTAGAGATTATCTTGTCTCTAACCAGCCCCAAATCCATTTAATGAAACTTATAATTTTGCCAGTTTAGCCAAGAAAATTCATAAAGTACCAAAGCCATCTTCACCAAAATATCATGCAAAAATATACGTGCTAGAATACAATATGTAAAGTCCTTTGGATTCTTGTACACTTTTTAAAAGTCAAAGGAAGGTCCAAAAGGCTGATGGGGATTTCTATGTTTGTTTTTTTCATACACTGAAGTGAACTTGTTTTTCTTTTTTTTCCCCTCAGTGTGCTGCTTGGGTAGCAATGTGGAGTTTTCTTTTTCATAGCAAAGTGTGCAGGTGTCATAATTACAATATATATCACAAGGTAGAATTTCAATTGTTTAAACCTAACAATTAAGTTAGTTAAGTTAATTGTTAAGGGAGATTCAGACCACAGATGTTGTTTCTGTTTACTTTGGGGTATTTTTTGGAGTAGGGCTTGTCTGTTTAGGTCCTTTTAGGCCTGGAAGATACAAATTTGAAAGGAAAATGGAGAGGAGAGAGCCAAATGCACTGCACAGTCTATTCAACAGTTTATTAAATACAACAGAACCAAAAGCGCTACCCATATTGCTAGAAAACAAGCAGGGATGAAAACAGAAGCATCTACACCAAGACTGCCATGTTATCATTCAAATCTGGTGATCCAAAAGCCTTTCATCAGTGCTACTTACCCAGCTTACTGTACCATCAGTGTACATGTTTATCTAAACTAAACAATTTCACTGAATCTCAAACAAGCCTCAAAAAGGAAGTTACGAAATGGAAACTAAATTCAAATCCCCCTAAATAATATTTTTTTTTCCAATAATTTTGGAGCCAAGGGGGAATGAGTTTAATATACTTTAAGATAAAATTTCACAGTAATATCAGTAAACAATAGGAAACATTTAAATGAACATGTTTTACAACCTCTTCTGTTGACTTTCTAGTGTTCTTTACTTTCAGTGTCAATTTTGTCTGAAAGGCATAGTAACACAGAATTCTGATCAAAGGAATAGCGAGGAGCCCTTGAAATTACATTCTGTAACGTACTGAAATCACTTTTATAGTGATCTCAACAGAAAAGAATGTGTCAAGAAGAAGGAAAGAGGGATACAAGAACAGAGGGAGGGGAGAGGAGGGGGCATAAACGACTAAGAGCCTGGAAAGAAAATGCTTTAAGTTCTGTAAAGTGAAGCATCAACAACCACAATTCTCTTCCCAGATCCAAAACATCAACACAAAGCTTGCGAGGACAGCTTACCAAGGTTACAGGTTACCACTCAAGGCCACTGGAAGGGTACCCCACCCAAAGGCTCTTTGCATACTAAGATCTCATACGATGGTCTCCTGTTCTTAACTCTACATTCCTCTCTCCTTTTAGATTTTACTTCCTACAGCAATCTTTCCTCTTTTTTTTTTCTTTTCTTTTTTCTTCCAAAGTTCAGAAGTCCTGCTTCTGAATGTGAATTGATTCCAGATGCAAATAACATCAAAGAAGTGGAGAACGTTTCACTGCAGGAAAACGTTTGATAGGAATGCTCAGGTTTTACACTGATAAGAATAAAAATTTCAGCAACAACCTGCTGAGATGAAGAGACTTAGCTCCCACAAAGTGACTCCTTGCAGTTGGACCTTCTTCTCACCATAAAGATGCATACAAAGCATAGTAAGAGTTCTGAACTATCCACTTTCGGATCTAGAAAAGGAGTAACAGGGACAATAATATATATTGTAATTATACAATATATAACAAATATGACAGCTTTCAATCAAGTCTGTCTCAAAGGACCCACAAACTAGCCATCTTCCCTATTGCCAGAAAAAGAACTGACAGCTAGCCCTTCACTGACAACTCACTGCATGCTTCACTTTCCTACATGAAAACCCACTATTCTAGGGAAAGGAATATATCCAATGTATGACCTTTTACAATCTTTACTGTAAGGCAAAAAAAGGGGAGAAATTACTTAACAAGGACTGAAAATAATATTGCTAATAAGTGAAAGCCGAGGGAGCTCTGAGGGCAGGCAGAACCCGATGTATTCCATGTATATACTCAGACTTACTGTTTTTAGATTCATAGGCATGAGTTCAGATGTTCCAAACATCTGTATGTTAATATAGTTGCAGAGCCGATAAATGCAATGCTACGTTCTATAAGAACAGGATTTAGCAGAAGAAACATTCAGAGAAAGAATACATTAAAAATTACACAGCCAACTACAAAGTTGACAAAGAAACTTCAATCTGGGTGCACAAATAGGCAAGCTCAACAAACCAGATTCAGGCAGCTCCTGAAACCTTATTTATTTTAAGAAAAATAAGGTGCAATGGCCATGCAGCCATTGGGTAAGCAGCTGTAACATTATTCATCCTAGAACTTGAAGAGCCCTGATTTATGATGTAGCTAAATACCAATACAAAATACCTTGAGTTCATATGTCATGATTAATCAGAAAGCTTTATTTATCACTAGGGATCTCATTTTTGGGTTTTGCTTCTTATCTAAAAAATTATGTAATACCTTCTTAATTCCAATAGCTAGACGCTGCAAGATAAGAAAACAAGTATGGTACAAGATTTCTGGAATTCTGTAGCACCTTCTGTACATTGCCCTCTTGAAGGACAGGGGGAAGGGGTGGAGATGGGAAAAAAAAGCACATTTTCATTGCTTCTATTTCTTCTACAAAGGTTCAATCTACAAAACTTTTACATAATACGATTTCACATATACAATTGGTTCCAGCTCTTCTGTTTTTTTGGCTCATTTACACATCAGATCACTCTAAAGATCAGCACTTGCTCATACATTTTCTTTAATGTACTTTCAGAGGAAACATTTATCAGACTACTGAATGAACACATAATCTCATTGAAACATCAGATTAAGGATACATATATAATTTTATTTTAGCTCTAATCTGCTATCAACAGAATAAATGTTATCAAATCTATCTTTCCATAGTTTGGACCTTAATGTCTGCAAAGACTGAATAATGCAAGTGAATTATAACTTTTCCAGGACATCTGGAATGGATGAGTTCAGCTTTTTCTCTAATGGCATTATTAATTCATAACATTACCATGCGGAAGTATCATTTAACTTGTTCAAGGTATTTACACCTATTTGCAATTCATTTTTGTCTCAGGAAGTCACAGCCTTCTCCAAAAAGGTTAGCACCGTACTTCATTTCATTAAAGCTATCTTCTGAAGTTTGGCATTTAACAGTTCACTGTTACAAAGGAAAAAAAAGTTTCCTGACCCTTCTCTCACCCTTCCCACACTGCTTAGCTTGTCAGACTTTCTGTGTGCCAATTCAAACTGCTAAAAAGCAACAACAAAAACTAAAGTGGATAGTTTTCTGCTGTTCTAGTGAATTAGGTTAGTTCAGTGAACTAGCATGAAACAGGGACAAGTGGAGGTAGACACAGAACAGAG